AACTAAACTTTGTACTGTTATTATACCTAAACTTTGTACTGTTATTATACCTAAACTTTATACTGTTATTATACCTAAACTTTGTACTGTTATTATACCTAAACTTTATACTGTTATTATACCTAAACTTTGTACTGTTATTATACCTAAACTTTGTACTGTTATTATACCTAAAACTTTGTACTGTTATTATACCTAAACTTTGTACTGTTATTATACCTAAACTTTGTACTGTTATTATACCTAAACTTTGTACTGTTATTATACCTAAACTTTGTACTGTTATTATACCTACCCTTTTGTACTGTTATTATACCTACTTTGTACTGTTATTATACTAAACTTTGTACTGTTATTATACCTACCCTAAACTTTGTACTGTTATTATACCTACCCTAAACTTTATACTGTTATTATACCTACCCTAAACTTTATACTGTTATTATACCTAAACTTTATACTGTTATTATACCTAAACTTTATACTGTTATTATACCTAAACTTTGTACTGTTATTATACCTAAACTTTGTACTGTTATTATACCTAAACTTTGTACTGTTATTATACCTAAACTTTATACTGTTATTATACCTAAACTTTATACTGTTATGATACCTAAACTTTGTACTGTTATTATACCCGCATTTATAATAATATCAAAATCATATGATTATCTACCTACTCTATATTTAAACATGTAGCAGGAAAAGACGTATTTATTCGGGCCTTCATAAGAGGTACAGAAGACAGGGTTGTTTTTGTCGACAACCTGCCTTTAAATGCCCAGATATGAATACATTTACTACATAATTATGTAAATCTTTTAACATTCGCTGTGAAAACAAGTTATAAGGAGGATGATAAAAATTGAGTCAAATTTAAATCTAACAGAAAAATAAACACCTTCCTTGCTCGGTACCTATACCTCAGTCACTGCTCGGTTTCCACATTCCATGAAGGTTACTATGAACTTATCTAAATAATCTAGGATTGTCCTATCCGTGTTCAGTGTTTCAGTAAGTAACACATTTTGTACAAGTCACGATATATCTATATATTGATACAGTCACAAGTATTATTTGTAAAATACACGTATAAGCTCGTAGAAATTTACCACGCACTTAAATATAGGTGTGTGTGTGTGTGTGTGTGTGTGTGTGTGTGTGTGTATTATATATCCGTAATATTTACAGAGGAAACACAGATGTACGAATAATCAATTCTCTGAAAAATGTCGATTTCGCTAAACATCGCTAACTAAAATCCATCTAAGATTAGCTATTTGTTTACATCGTAGGTGTTGTCTAGTTTCTTTGGTGAAATAAATATGTTTCGCCTCTAAAGGGACACCGGTCTCTCGCGGATTTACCTCCGTTTGTGCCTCAACCCGTTTGTCCCGGATATCTACACGGGCAGTTAATACAGGAGGTCACCGAAAAACACCATCCAAAAAATTGGCCGAATTTTTCCGGAGTGTGATTCCGAAAGAAATTTAAAATACAGTAAACATACGATGCTAATTCTTCAATATTCGTACATAAATTATGGATATTTTGCTGCCGTATGCATGATTGCAATAATCTCATTGCAAAGGGGACATGGAGTCTCGACCATTTTCTGACTTTCATATGTTTGAACTTCTGTAAGTCTATCTAGCTAGGTCAGGAGAGAAGGACACATAATTAATTGACTGTACTCGACATACATCTGTCTAGACTATTAATGCGATATGCCTATGTAAGGTCACCATGTCGCTCTCCACACACGTGTGAGTTGTATTTAACCGTACTGGATTAAGGCCACCAAGTCGAAAAAATCTAGGAGGACCCTATGTTTGTAAATCGTAACATCAAGTCCCTTTAAGAGTCGTTGTCGAGAGATTTACGTGTTTTTTCCTCCGTCGAACGAGTTATCACAGCGTTCAGAGACTGCAGAGGTCAACGCGACGCATGTTTCATTTATACCTGTTGTAAATATCAATATATCTGCCATAAGAACGTTACACGAGTTGATACATCAAAGTTTACCAAGTTTATTTAACTGTGTGTGTAGAGCATTGGTTTTATGTGAAAACGGTAGAGCAGTGCATAGAGGTTTTATTGTGCTGCACAAGGGAAAGGTGAACGGCTTTTCTGACAAATGCTCCTGATAAGAACAATTAAAATGTCGTTTTTGTAATAAAAGAAATCTTAACATGTTACTAGAACTATTCACAGTGTGCAAAAATTTATGAACGGAAGTGGTGAACAGTTATTAGCGAGTTGTACTTTTATTTTCGTTTAGAATTCTATCTACATCTAAATGAATCTTTAATTTCTATGAGATCATGATTAACGTATCGGCTCTCCAAACAGTTAACATATAAAGCCGTAGACAAACTCCACTTTAATCGTGTCTCCGTTGATTTGTACAACAGTTTGGTTGTTTTGTCGATATACCAAACTAGTTTATTTGTACAACAGTTTGGTTGTTTTGTCAATATACCAAACTAGTTTATTTGTACAACAGTTTGGTTGTTTTGTCGATATACCAAACTAGTTTATTTGTACAGCATTTTGGATGTATTTTCGATATACCAAACTAGTTAATCTGTACAACATTTTGGATGTATTTTCGATATGCTAAACTACGACTGACTTAAATTTACAATCGATGCTGTAAAACTGTTGCAGCAATCACACCATATTGTGTCTGCCCGAACAATCAATCCATGGTCTCTCACGGAGCACTTTCTCGTGATGACATCATAACAACCTACGACCACGCGGGTTACCCAGGATACTCTAGTCCCCTTCCACATTAGGACCCCTCTCGCGCTTACATCCGGGCCTGTAAGAGCGATTAGTTTAAGTTGAAATAACTAATTTCTCGATTGTTGTAAAATAAATAAAACTGAAAAAATCCCACGACAGTAGAGTCTCGTCGATTTTGTGTTGAACGTGGCTAGGAAAAACCGGAGACAACCAGTAATTTTTGTAGGAACAAAACACCAATGTGAAAATTTTCGGACGAGTCCCAGTGATTAAGAGATATAGTGTGTTCTCAAAATCTGAGCGAGTCGCACAGGAAAAGTGTGAATCCAGGACTCAGGTAAACTCGACGTTTTCAATTAACCATGCTGAAAATGTCACAAGAAGTCTTCAATTTTACCATTTGATAGGAAGGTGTCACGTGTAATATATCTGTCGATGTGTTGGAGTTAGGTTGATGCAGGAATAAGTACAATATCTATATATATATATATATATGTATGCTTAAGGTCTTTCAGAGTTCAAACTATCTTCTTATAAAATGTATATTAAATGTTTAAAGATTAAATACTATCACTCGAAATCAAATTAAAGAATGAACTCTCCAAAATACTTCTCTCTGTGTACGTCATATAGGAGAAGATCAATCTGGATGTTTGACAAGACTGACTCACCAATTAAAATAATTTAACAGTGTGATACCAGATAAGAAAGCACTTCAGCTAGGCTATAAATTATGTTGTTCTGTACAAATACATAGAATCACATGTAAACATAACAATAAGATAAATAAAAACCATTAACCAATACGTTAATGTTTTATAAATTGCTTACTTTTGGTCATCAAACAAAACCTCACTATAACATGACAGTACGACAGGAGTTACCAATATGAAAACAAATGTTTTGGATATCTCAAAGATATGGTCTCTCAGGTCCTGACACTAATTGGTATTACACAAGGCCGGTACTTTGTGATACATGTATCTACAGTTTTGAGGTTTTTGTGTTTTAGAACAGTGTCTGTAGTGAAGGTAATTGACATTGGATTATGATAAAATGGTTAATGATAATTATAATTTCTTTATAAATTTCAGTCAACAGGTTACAGGTCACATATCTAATTATCTATGTAATAATATTCATCATTGTTTATTTCCTATTTAAAACGCCTTTACACCCGTTGGGTTAGTATCCGGTCCTGTTGGGTTTGTCCGTATCAACCCCTGTGCGGAAGGCTTTAGGCTCTGTCACCAGGCCGAGACGTATAAATTCAGAGAGATAACCCTTCTTGAGTCTCAGTCATTCCTCCACTCTTCCTTCCCACTCTTCCTTCCCACTCCTCGAAAACACATGCACATGCACTCCTTCCCACTCCGCGAGAACACATGCACATGCACTCCTTGCCACTCCGCGAAAACACATGCACTCATCCCGAAAACATGGGGAGGTGTTAACCAACATATTGTACCAAACATGACCTCGCTATATTTAGGCCTAAAAAGTAGATCTCTAGACAAATAAGGTTAAATAATGGGGGTTGTTTTATTTGTATATAACACGATTATCTGGAAATATTTCGTAATCACTGGTATCTTTACAACACACGGAAACTTTCACCGGCTCTTCGAGCTCGGCTGTTTGTCTATCGACTGTGGGAACAATCTGTAGATTTCGCGTGTTCCAAAGATTTTTCTTTCTAGATGTTGACATTATGATAAAATATTAGTGTTCATGACATCACTGGGGCAATGTCAACACGATCATCAAACAATTGAGCTATAAATAAGTATGACAGATCAGATAATCAATACTTACCTGTAAACTCCAGTTAGATCGTCATCAGTATCTTACTTTAAAACGCCATTGCCTGATATATTTACAGAACTTTAAAAGATATCCAGAAAGTTCAAAACTTGTCGTTTTTAATATCTTCATTATATCTTATTTATTAGTTAGGAAACAGGTATAACAAACGAAATACTATTATTAAAAGACCACAAAATGATTTGCCAAAGGCCGAAAATGAATTCTGATTGGCCAAAGGCCGAAAATGACTTCTGGTTGGCCAAAGGCCGAAAATGACTTCTGGTTGGCCAAAGGCCGAAAATGAATTCTGATTGGCCAAAGGCCGAAAATGACTTCTGGTTGGCCAAAGGCCGAAAATGACATCTGGTTGGCCAAAGGCCGAAAATGAATTCTGATTGGTCAAAGGCCGAAAATGACTTCTGGTTGGCCAAAGGCCGAAAATGACATCTGGTTGGTCAAAGGCCGAAAATGACTTCTGGTTGGCCAAAGGCCGAAAATGAATTCTTACAAGTTAGGATACTTTCATCAACAAAGTAGATGATGTTTCAATTCGTATTGATCAGAATTGAAAAGTTAAAAATCTCTGAAGGTGAAACAATCAAGATTTGATTCGTATACAGTGAAGTGACACATTATCTGATCGCATGTCACTCTAAATTGTTTTCTTTTCTTATATAAATACACGTTTCGGCAGATTATGTACAAGGTTTGTGGGTCATGTAACTGCAGACTCACTGAATGTTCACATCATCTGATCAGTCAGTATTGTCAATGTACATGTTTATTAGTGTCTAATTACTTCCTGTTTACCCTCTGTATCCTGTACCGCGTGAGCGATATGTTGTTTCATCGAGAATTTGACCGTTTATAAAATTCCTTCTCAAAAAATGATCTTTTTCACAAAACTAGTGAAGTGTTCAATTCCAAGAAATGTTTTGTCATGAGTATTGTCTATTACGTCTTGGTTGAAATATATAGACAAATTGAATTCAATGCGATCTATATCCTGGAATGATTGTTTTTGTCAAAATATGTATATGAAAAACTCCACATTTATATTAGACCGAGAACCTTTTGAATTAGTCACTGCCCAATCTTATAATAATCACACGACTACACAACATAGCAGTAATTTGTTACTTCAAAACAGACGCACAGCGAATTGGAAACACGTTTGACATGATATAACAAAAATGTGTTACTTCAAACCAAACACACAGCGAAATAGAAAAAAATGACGTTTCATATAACCAACACGGAATAAAAACTCATGTACGATATATTATCATTGTTATTGTTTGTTTCAGGTTTGGAATGTTACAAGTGCAGTCACATGATCATTACGTCAAATCTGACGTACCCGGATGACGAGGTCATACGTCAACTGGCTCCCGGGTTAATCAACACAAAATGCAGACGCACGGACAGTAACTATGTTCAAACACAGAACCAACAGAACAATATGAACAACAACAATAACTGGAATACAGGGAGCCAGACTGGAATTCTCTACCCGAACACTTGTAATGTGGCAAGACCAGGGTCACAGAAGGTCGTGAGATGTGGAGTGTGGGAGGGAGATGTTTATGCTACAGTGTTTAGTTCCAAAAGTACGTATATTGTTGGTGTTAGTTAAATGTTTTTTGTAAATTTTAAAATAAGAAAAATCAAAATTTAAAACGAAGAAATTATAGTCTATTTCTAAATTAAGATTCAATTGAAAAAAGCATGACTAGAAGAACCGAACGATTCCCATTGAGACTTGACAAAATAATAGAATATGTCTGTATGTTTTGGATGTGTAATATAACAAGGTTACCCTCTCAAATTGACGGACACCTGCTACACATTTTAACGTTATTGTATTTAATTTTTTTCGTTTTCATAATTTAATGATATATTTAACATAATATAGAACGGATCACAAGTAAGTCTGTTTAGTACGTGTGTACTTAGTATCTAACACAACATGTTATATACAATATGGCGTTGCCTATATAGTATGTGTATATACAGGAACATTATCAGTATTTACGGATTTATCAACTACATGTAGATATACCTCTTATTGACATCAATACTCTCGTTTCAATAAAGTTTTAATTTCTATAGCAGATATAAAAGTTATTTAAAGTACGAATTGATCCAATGCTATCAAATATATTTTAGAAGTAAGAAACACGAAAGAAATGGTAAAGCATGAAAGACCAGAGACAATGGAAAATAGGATCGTTAATTTAAAAATCTTCAACAGCATTGGCGTGTACACATTTATCTACACTTAATACATTTCAATTCCTTATAAAGTATTTTATAATTATTTTTGTTTTATCGCCAGAACTGGTGTTGACGAGTTTCGCCTTTGGATGTGCTGAAGTAGATGAATATTTGGCGTATGGCTGTTACAGCCATTCTGGGGAGGATGCTGACAAGGTTTTCTTCCAGGAGGTTCTGCAGGGATCCTTCCGCGACAACGTGTATGTGACCGATTTCCGTGGACGACTGTGTCTGACCCAAGACGCCGCTTCCCAGCTGATATCGAGCGCCAACAAACTTGGAGTAACCACCTTTTTCTGTCTTTTAGTTGTATCCGTTGTAACTTTCGTTGTCACCAGAAGGTTTTAGTTCTTTTTCAATTATAGTTGTCTTTTTATTTTATGTCGTGCGATCACATTTTTTGGTATTTTATTTGCAAGGTTGTGTTTGATGGAAGTATACTTGTGTCTGCGATATTGTCTGAGAGTGAAGTTCCGTGAGGCTTGTGTTGTATCTCTGTACAAATGCGGTTGTGTAGGCACGTTTTATAAATGTACGGTACATTTTTGTAGTTGCCGTCCTGTTTTACATAGACATTGAATAAAATTCTCATTTGAAGGAAATTCATTGATATGTGACTATGTTCCTGTTATGATTAAATGTCGTTCAATTTCGTCCTTTTTACTAGTACATGTGTTTAAGGATCAATTTAGCCCTCTTTACTAGTACATGTATTTAAGGACCAATTTCGTCATTTTTACTTGGACATGTGTTTAAGGATCAATTTAGCCCTCTTTACTAGTACATGTATTTAAGGACCAATTTCGTCATTTTTACATGTGTTTAACCTATTGACCAATTTTTCGTGTTTGTTCCGATTGTAATACATTCAGTCAAAGATTGATGATAATTTGTCGACAATGTCAAAGGGAAGCGTAGTTCTGATGTATAATGTCGTTTTTACTTGTGTCTGTTCTTAAAGAACTTCCGTCGAAGATGCTATATCTTTGGTTTACAAACTGCTCAGTTTTTTGGGGTTTTTGTATGTGTGTTTTTTCTTTTCTTTCTTTTTTTTTGTTTTTTGTTTTTTTTTTTTGTTTTTTTTTTATCAACTTTACGTCCTTTGAATGAATACATAAACCAGGACTAAAAAGATATACATACTTATGTTTATTGTGACATGTATATTATAGTAGGTTTATGGGTTATTGTCAAAGATAAGATGTAAATTGTTGCTTACCCATTAACAACATATGATAAATGTATTATATTATTTGTAATTTCGTTGCATGCAAAAGATTTTAGATATATCACCTGTGTGTCTTCAAGAATCTCATTTGCCTTGTTCAAAATTACGATAGTTACATCTGCATTAATTCGAAAAAAGGAAATGTTGACATGAAAATAGAAAAACAATTTATTCTAATTGCACATGTACCGCACTTCTTTTTGTCCAAAATTCAAAGCCATTCTTTTTCTCCTTCAAATTCTTTACATTTGCTTCTTTCGACGTTATAGTATGACATGTTTGAAAATCGTTTTTGAGTATGCAGTCTCATGTTTCACGATAAATGTTTCAACACCATTTTTGTAGGGAAAGCATACAACAGTATATCAAAGATTTGAATTATGGATAATCCTGTTGGTGATCATGACAGTAGATAAGTATGTAAAAAAGTTATCTCCGTGATAAATGATAAAAAATATAAATTTAGAATTGATTAGATGTTAGGGGCTCATTATTTGTCATATCTTCTTGAAGAGTTCATCTGTGTATATAATTCAAAATAGTTATATACGTCCACTTTCTACATTTAATGGCGCTGATCTAACAGTTAAACGCCATAATCAGGATTACATCTCCAGTTTCAGATTCATTGGTAACTTGTAGTTATATATTTATCTTTAAATAATACATTGAACATGTGAGTTATATTTGTATAATACTACTTGTATAAGATAGAAAAAAAGGCAAATCAATCCATTAACATTAGACTTTCTCATCATTTTGTCAGAAAATAATTCCTGACAAATAATTTTTGAAAAGTAGAAATTTGCTGTTCTATAGAAAGTACTCTGAAAAGTTACTAAAGTGTCAGGTACATTAGGTGTATGTGAAAGATAGAACACTGAAACATTAATGTTTTCTTTGAACTCTTTTGTTTTGTTTGTTTGCTGCCTTGATCGGCCATAAATACCCAGGTTCATTTTGACGACAAAATACCATTGCCATCTATGTAATATAAGGTGATGTTTGACAACTTGTCATATGTAATCGTTTTAGACTATATATAATGACCTCTGTTACATATGTGTGCCGATCTGTTAATTGATTTCAGTAATTTTAGATTGATCTTGTACTAGTAGAATATTTTGTTATGAATTTATCTTGCCTTTGTTTTATGTTATCTGTAAATATCGACTTCTGAAAATAATTACGAATCCAGTCATATTTCAGGGATGGATATATCTTTGTTGTAATGTATTCATATTATTGTAGTTGTTCAATGTAATATAAACGCATGCTTTTAACTATTAATAACTACAGGTTAATTTCAAATGAATTCGCAAATTTAAAAAAAAAATGACTCTAAGAAATTAAAATGGAATACAGTGCATACAATGAAGTTTTGATATACACGTGGGCTGGCAAATTTTCCCTAAGGTTTATTCGGCATGTTTTAAAGAATTTTGTGTGATTATGAATGCTTGTTCAAGGTATCATTGTAAAATAAACGTTTTTAATTCAGTCAGAATTTCATGGCTTGTTTATATACTAGTATTGGTGGCTTTTTTCCTTCATGCGTCTTTGTATAGTTTGAGATTTGGCATTTCTTCTCTTGGTACTTGATGAACCAATATCAGAAACTATGAACATGTTTTGCATTAACACTTTATATTGTAATTATATTATTGTTTTGTCCTATATAAAGAAATCAATGTTATTTACATGAGATCTTTGTAAATATTACTACATATTGTGTTGTGAAATCAATTATGCAATGCTTAATAATCACGTATCCCTGATGGTATTTTGTGATGACAGATGTCCGGTTTTACACCAGGAACGTCGTCACTGATTGCCATTTGGCAGTATTAATATAAGTCACTACAAACAAGTGTTTTGTCATAAATTTGCTGGAATGAAAATTTCTTTGTTCGCTTTACTTTAATGGCGGATGTCGTCGTTGAAGCTGAAAACACTTACTCTTCCCGAACACCTGGAGTTGTTCTCCTTGTACTATTTCACGAATCTCTGTGTAAATCTTCTTCTTTTTTTATATTTTGCCCTAGTTTTATTGAATTTGAGCTTGAACTATGATTATCTTGATATGTTGGATTTTTTTGCCGTTTTCAAACACATTGATCAGGAAAAAAGTATTATTCCGTCTGCGTTTTTCTTTCCCTTTTAGTTCTTTATATTTTAATATGACAATTTTGTTACGATGACTTGATTTTGTTAACTCGATATTAATTCATTAAAATATGCATATACATGTACAATTCTTGTAACTATGCTAGCTAAATATGGAAGTCACGTTACACTGTATTATACTCACATAACGCTGGGTTTTTTTTCGTGCAATGTGACTTATGTTTCATAAAGTTTCGTCGGAGATCTGTAAAATACGATTTTTTTTGTTGTATTTTTTCACAACACTAAAACATGAGATATTGTATCTACATATACCCATTGATCAGAAGTGGGTCGATGTTTATATCGGAATGTTGACTTAATGTCAGAAGTATGAAGATAAGAAGGATCGTGTTGGTTTTAGAAATTGGGAATAATATCGGTGTCCGTTGTACACCATTCAATGTTCACGTGTGTTGTAGAATACTGTATTTCAATCTTTCCAGGTGCGTGTGAGGGTACAAAGGAGGGAAATGAAAATGTTGTTCGACAGGCTACAATTTCTATTTTTCTTATCATATAATAACTAATTTCAAAATAGATTTAGAATATTGATATCCCTTTATAATGCTTGCGGGACATTTAGGACGTTACGACTAAACCCATTGACAGCTAAATAAATATATCTATATGATTTTGTCCTTAAACATATTTTCAGCTTGGAGCATGCAGACTGGTTTTTACTGAAGGTGGCTGTTAATGTGTGTGGGAGGGGGAGGGGATGCTTTAGGGGGTGTTTGAGAGTGTGTGTGTGTGTGAGTAGGGTGTTTGAGGGTAAGTAGGTGGTTGGATGGAGAGTTGGTGTGAGGTTGTTGGTGTCTTAGGGTGTGTGTGTGTGAGAGAGAGAGAGAGGGGGGTGTGTGTGAGTAGGGTGTTTGAGGGTAAGTAGGTGGTTGGATGGAGAGTTGGTTTGAGGTTGTTGGTGTCTTAGGGTGTGTGTGTGTGCTTTCAATCTGTTTTCTTCTCTACAGTTAATTTTATGTTATTGTTCGTTAAGATACGTGAAGTTGACTGGTTCACCTAACTCATTGTAATTTACCAGGAATATTGCTGAAATGTTCACCGCTTCATTGTTTGGATGTATCGAATTATGCATGCATGCTCCTATATTTGAAAACATTTTTTTCATATTTAACACTTATCACAATAAGCTTCTTGTCTTAACATTAATTAAATCCAGTTCGAAATTTGACGGTACTATTTGATACTTGTAGTAATTTTACTCCCCGCGTTAAATAAGGGTGCGTTTTACTTCATCGCACTAAATAATTAACACCTTATGAAGTATTTTCAGAGTTTGTTAGACTATCAAATCATATTCATAAATCTCTTTTGTTTTTTTTTTTTTTTACTTTTCTACCAAGTCCAGGGATGGATAAAAGATAATGACTTTTAGAGTTAGCATATTAACTGACAAAATAGATCGTCTTGTATGGAATAAAATTATTTCATTAGAATCCGATTTGTGTTATTTTACGTTTGTGATTAATTGTGTCTTGAATCAATAAATCACGAAAATTGCACCAGACTCAAAGTGTTAAAAAAAAGGATTTAAATTTTTTTAAAATATTGAATAAAAATGCTTTTCAGGATTTGATTGTAAATTCTATAAAAAATTAAAGAGTATTCTTTTCTACATATACGATGAGATGTCTGGACAAAATTAACAGGATGATAACACTTTAAGTTGTGTAAAAATCACAATGCCGTTTACGGAAATAACAGTTACGTGTTATGACTACACACTGAAGAAATTCCAGAGACATCGGTTAAAATCTGAAAAAGATAATCGCATATTGAAAGCTGACAAGAGAACACTACCAGACAAGTGGCAGGGATATCCAAATGTCATCGGATTATACTGTGTTTATATAAAGGTTGGACATAGATCGCCTGAAAAAACAGCTGATGAAACGGACAACACAATACCATAACATGTCCGTTCAAAAACTGT